TATCCTTGGAGGGTCTTTGTGACTTTCTCATAACGTTAGCTTAATGACAACAGTCAGAGACCCGTGGAAATCCTATTTGGAGGCTTGAAGCCATTTTAGAGTTCCCAGAGATAAGGTGGTGTCTTGACGTAACCTCTCACAGCGTATAGCTTGTCCTATAGAAGTCATTTCAGCATTTTTCATTGCCTCTAACTTTCCCAGAGGTTCTCTGTTGTTATTGTTAGCTGTATATTTTGAAAATGAAAAACAATCAGGTTGAAGAAAAGGCCTCCTGTATGTTGGTGTCTGTGGGAGCAAATGTGGAATAAATATATATAATGCATGGTGGTTGATATTTTGTATCATTTATCTTCACTTGTGAGAAGAGATGGGATAAGTCACTCAAGACTGTGCCAGTCCTGAACCATTCTTCATCACTACACTCATGAAGATAAATGTCACATTTACACAGACCACAGCTATCATGTGTCCTTTCAGACCATAGACTTAGATCAGTTAGAGCAGGAGGTTGACTTGGTGCTGTTATTTGAAAATCAAGGACACTTCTCTTGTACCGTCTCCTATTCCCTGATCTCCAGTGTTAAACTAGGCTACCATTGCAGCTAAAGAGATATCAAGTAGCATATATATTTTCATCCCTGTCTATACTTCAGATACTTTAATTTAAAATTTTTATTTTCTGTATATGCCCAGCCCAGTGTTCTGCAGTGGCAGTTGATTAATAGGATACAATGTTGGTTCTCACATGGTGAGAAGTGGTATAATGAAGAGTACTATGGAAAAAATGATAAGCAAGTGGTTAATTCTCTCCGTGCACAAGTCAAAGGACAAAGGAGCAAGTCAGAATAGAACTATTGAAAATTAATAATATTTGAGCAGCTTTATTAAGAGAAAACAGCATGGAAACTTTAGTTTTCCATGATGTACAAATGGCTGTACTATTGGATTTTAAGGCGATGGCAGAACAAGTGTCTTCTCTGCTCTGTGCTTCTGGACCCTGCTACAGGTAGTCAATAGAAAATGAACCCTTTATAGCTCTGTACCGAATGTACTTATTCTGGTTTTGTCTGTAATTATGGTTCCACAGATTGAATGTCTGAAGTTAGAAGACTTCCCATTGAAATAAAATTATTGGCTCTTTTTCCCTTGGTTGGTACATGAATGTGTCTATAACTAGAAGTAAGCTGAAAAGGATTTCCATGAATTCCAGAAATTTGGTTGGCAAACTGGACATTTCCAAAATCACTGTCCCTCTTTGAAAACTGTAGTTTGAACCATATGAAATCGTTGTTATCAACAGTTTTTGATTTAGGATATGGCAATTTTATGTGCTTCATTCTAATCATACAGATGAATTGTGTGATTCAGATTCAGGGTAGGTTTGAGTAGGTTCTTTCTGATATAACCAAATAACCTATTTCATTCACTTATTTAAGAAACGTTTATTGAACATGTACTAAATGGCAGTAACTGGTTTATGCATGCACATAAAATGGAATATAGTGCCTGTCCCAGCAAGGCCTGTAGTCTAATGATGCAGAAAGACACATAGGTAGGCAAGTACAACGTGAATGACTAACACAATCATTGATAATTGCTCAATACGTATTCTTTTTTTATTCCCATATGGTGCAATGTGTTTAAAAAGCACACATAAAAAGCCAGTTCCAGGGCATCTGGGTGGCTCAGTCAGTTACACATCCAACTCTTGATTTTGGCTCAGGTCATGATCTTGGCGTTGTGAGACTGAGCCCCATGTCAGGCTCCATGCTGGGTGTGGAGCCTGCTTAAGATTCTCTCTCCCTCTCCCTCCCTCTCCCTCTCTGAAAAAAAGCCCCAGAAAACGAAAAAAAAAAAAACAAAAACAAAAAAAAAAGAACAAGTTCCTACAAATTTTGAAAACCTTGAAACAATTAATGGCATAAGTACCTCCTTCCATCCTTTAACATGTTCATATTAAAAAAATTATATATTGGTCAGGGCACTAGCCTAGAGCTCTAAATGCTTAACTTCTTGTATTAACAGTTATCACATATCAGTTTTGTTCCTTTTAAATATAATCACATTACTTAACTTCCTTATACTTTTAACATTTTCACCTGTAAAATGGAAAAATATAATCTATTCCGCCTACCTCCCATAATTGTGGAGGCCAGACAGGATAATGTATATGAGACAATTTTCTAATCTATAATGTATAAGATAAGCAAAAGGTAAGATTCTGATGACCATTTTTTCTTGTTACCAATCTTGTTTTTATCGTGCTATGTAAAAGATCAAGGTGGTATTTTTTCCTGTGTCTAGTCATGATCCTGTATTTGGGGATGAGTACCATATTCAGCACCAGATACTCATTTTATAAAAATGCGTAAATTGTTTAGTCACTCCCCAAGTCAGTAGAGCAGTACTTAGTAAACAATGAATGAAACTCTCAGAGAACAATAATCATTCCTGTTATCTGAGAGCTTACAATATGCCAGGCTTAGTGGTTTATGGACATTACCTCATTTCAGCTTCGGAACAACCTTCTAAAGTTGACTCTAAACTTTACTCCACTGTGTGGAGAAGAAACTGAGGGGGTGAACACATAGAAGCAAAGACATCAGATATTGGACCAGGCTACTGGATTAACTCAATTATTCAAATAGAGAATGGACTAGGATGTAACGGTGGAGGTGAAGAGAGGTGCGGAGACTCTTGATACTCACAATTTCCAATGTATAGGCAATATGATGTAAAGGTGATAGGCTATAGAGGTAACAGGATGCAATAGTGAGGATGAGGTGGAAAAAATGGAGGTTCGAGGGAACTTTGGTCTGAGCTACTAGGAGGATGACCCCTGGAACGATGCTTGGCATAGGGTAGGAACTTAAAATTTTTTGTCGAGTGAATGAATTAATGAATGACTGGAGTTGCTCTTAGAAAAGTCTTTTTTGGAGATGGAAGTTCAGTTGAATCAAGGATTTTAATTGGACAGATGGATTTTTGATGCCTCCAAGTGGAGGTCTTGAGTTGGCAGTTAGATGTACAAGTCTTCATTGTAGACTGGAGATGTACGTTTGTAGATGGTGTTTAAAGCCACGATGGGATCACATGGAAAGCAATTCTAGACAAAGAATAGGTCCACTAACTGAGCTCTGGTACACTCCAGGGTTTGGTGGCCTGACAGATGAGGACAACTAGTGATGGAGGTAGAGCAGATTAACCACTGAGGTAGAAAGAGAATCGAGAGAGTGGTTTCCCAGGAGTCAAGTACGGACAGTGTTTCAGAAAGGACAGGGTGGTCACTATGTCACATACTGCTAATTTTTGTCTAATATAAGAATTGAGAATTGGCTACTTCATTTAGCAATGAACATGAGTTTTCTCCTCCTACCTCTTCTTTACCCCCTCTACACACACTAATTGTTACCCACTGCCTTGCTCTCACATTATTATAAACCCTGACGTGTTAACTTGTCACTCACATTTCATGTTTCTTAACTCAAGGGTTCTTGAAATCATGAGATTTGGGGAAACTTTCTCTAAGATTGAGTTACACATCTTTTAAAACCAATAATGGAAAATCCACAGATCATCTCTGAAATAAATTTTAATTATACTCAGTTTTACCCATATAATAATAGTAATATTCACTAGTGGTATATTGCTTTGAAGTTTGAGAAGTACATTTACTTGCATTCTGTGTTCCACACAGAACCATCTAACACAGTAAAGTGCCCAGCTTTGAAGCTTACACCATCAGACTATGCCACCTGCTAACACCTCCTTGTAGGAGTCACCAGCAGACCCACCAGCAGACTTCACTCCTCCTCATTCCTTGAAGATTTTAACACCTGCCTCCCTGCTGTTCTTTCCAATCCTACTCCTGATAGAATTCTTGGTGATTTCAATATCCATGTCAGTCCCTTGATCTTGATTACTAATTGTGTGGGCTTTTCCCATCTGTACTTGCTCAGGGTTTCCGCTTTGTGCTATTTGCACCAACTGTATGTCTAAGCTTCGGTTGTAAAGATCTGTGTTTGTGGGATTTAAAGATTCTTTAGTTTACTTCTTATGCTTTGCAAACTGCCAGTACTGTCTCTTCATGTTTCTTTGCTCTAAGTACTGTGTGGCCCTCAAGCTCAGATTCTAATTTTTAATATGCCATGGCCATAGGAGTGTGGGAAGGGGGCGGGGAATAGGAATCGGGATGGATAGGGAGAGGAGATGTTAGCATCTCTTTTGTGTTTGGATGCGGGGAAAAGAAACAGCTGGTGTTCACAGCTCATGCCTATGTCAAACTCTTAGCATCCCATTTGACTTTAGTAATTTGGTGTGTTCTGTTTAACTGTTTCCTACCCATATTCAAAATATTTTCTCTCGTTTGATCTTGAGAGGTAGTTTTGATCAACACACTGGATCAGAGAGAAAATGTGACTTGTTGAAGGTCATGCATCTGATAAGTCAGAACCAAGTGTAGACAATAGGTCTTCTGACTCCAAACGCATTTTTCATTGGCATTAAAACATGCATTGTTGCAAACGGCCAGTGGTTAAAATAGCTGCCTTGGCTCTCTGCCCAGGAGAATGTTAGAATACAGTGGTAATTCAATAAATATTGTCACCAGTGTTGTCTGTGGTGATGTTGGTGGCAGCAGATCCAGAAATGTACTGAATTGTTCTAATGGATGCTTCTTTATTTTTTTATTTTTTTAGATTGGCAAACACGTTGCCTGTTTACAGCATAGAGACCACAATGGAGAGCTAGGTGGGTGATGATTCATGCTAAATCTTTCCCACAATATGCTGAACACTACAACAGCAGCTAATGTAAAGTGGCTCATTATACACTGTCAAATCCAATAACAGCAACGACTGGCTTTGCTAGCACGAGCAACTTGTGGGAAGCCCAGCTACTGCAAACCACTACTGAATTTTGAAAAATAGGATGCAGTATAGTAGAAAAGACATATTCCCTGAGTCATATTTGCAAATTTCTTATATGTTTCTCTTTGCCAGCTTAGAAACAGCCTTCATGTTCCCAGCTTGACACCAGAGATGACTCTTCTTGGGATTCATTTCTCTTGTGAGTGCCTCCTCCTTCAGTTATATTTTATGGGCTAAAGATTTTGTAAGGGTAGGGGTGGCTCATAGGCAGATCTGGAATTGTGGTTCTCCTACAGAAATATTCCCAAAGCTCCCTCATCACCCAGTCTTACGCCAGCCAATCATGCCATATGCATAAATACATTTCCCTTCTGGAGCACAACATCTATAGGTAGCTTTTCTACCTCTACAGCGAGATACCATGAGGCAGCAGACAGGAGTACCGACTCCTTGCTCTATGACTTATGATTATGTGTCTTTTTGTCTCCATTTAATTGTAATCTCCTGGAAGGCAGGGTCCTGGATTTATTATCTCTGTAGTCTAATGCCTATGAGCCATAGTTGTCCCTCCATAAATATTTATCAGTAAAATTAATGCATTCCCTTCTAAAAAGTCCATAATTAAGCTAAGGACTGGGGTTTAATCTTCTTGCCTCCCTTGTCCCTAGCACAGTGCCTGATACATAGTAGGTGGAAACTCCATGTTCCTTTAGTGAGGGAACAAGGGTATGAATGAGTCCATCAATCACATGGTTCCCTGTGGCCAAATTAAAGGCTAAGCAAACCTTTTCCAATCATCAGGGACAAAAAAGTGATAGCTTCCAATTGTTCATCTTTGGGCCACCAGGAGTAATGCCCTAAAAGTGGTTGTTTATTTTGGAAGGCAAAAGCTAATCTGAAGCTATTTTCTTTATTTTTATATTCAAATATCTACAAAACAGAAAAACACTGGAGACCTATTCATTGTTCACAAATGATCTATGGGGTAATAATGTGCTTGCTTTTCCAGCTGTGCTGCACTTTGGTGCTATCCTGGGTTTAATTGAAAATATGCTGTGACCTTGGTTTTGTTCACTGGGCATGGGGGGGTATAATTGGCATGAGGCCTCTGAAGAACTCCCTTTTAATGAATGTCATTTGGCTAATTTGAGGTTTGCCTGTGGGAAATAGTGTATGAAGTCCTGTAAAAACAAGACACATTTTATTTGCATGCAATTCACATGAAGGTAATTATTTAAATTTTTTAACTTTATTTTGCCATACCTATTCGTTGAATTCTAAATGCTATCAGTATGATAATAGTATTGTCCCTAACAGTCTCATGTTTCATCATAATTAAATAAACAGCTTGTGAATTGCAGTCCAAAAAATGTCTGTATTCCACTCTTAACTTAAGGGGTTTCCATAGAAACTGTGGGCAGCGAGTTTAACTGACATTCATTGGACTTGAGGCTACATGCAGTGTTGCTATCTCTCTGTTTTTCTGTTACTCTGTGTATACATCTCTTTCTCTTCCTTTAACCCTGGAAACCCTCTTTCCCTCCTCCTCTGCTCCTCCTCCCCCTTCTCTTATTAGCAATGAGGAAGTAATTTGGACTCAGTTAGATTTAACAAATGCAATAATACTAAAATGAGCTCTGATACTTAAGTGTAATTGTGTTATTAACTGGAAATGTTTTTCTTCAAAAACAAAAGAATCGAGAGTGAAGTTTACTAAGGAAGCACATGCTGGTAAGAAGGAACCCTTGGCTGCCAGTTGAAAGTTTGCAGGCTGTATTATCACAGTCCATATTTCCACCCCAGCTATGGCTTTTCCTTGATTTAGGCAAACCGAACTGATGTTTCTTTCTCCTCAGTCCTGATTTTCAGTCTTCTAAATGGAGCATAAAATCATTGTGCTGATCATATTCCAAGAGAAAGAAAGAGTTAATTAGGAAAAAAAAATACTGTATATTGTGTACCTACTGTGTGCCCAATATTTTGCTAGATACTGACATTTAGGTTGTCTTAGTTGATGCCACAACATGCATTGCCAGGCAGTGCACTGGAAGGAAAAATGAATCTTGGCCTGGTGGTTGAAGTCTAGATCCCACAACAGGCTGGTTGAAAAGCCTTGATTATAGTGCATAGAGGCTCTGTCTTGGTTTCTCAAATACATAATGAATATGAGCACTTCTAAGAAATGGTGTCTCATTAAGATTAGTTATAATAATGTAGCCAGTACACCATAAGACTGGTGTTTTCTTCATCCCTTTAGAATTGAGTTGCCAAGGGGCACCTGGGTGGCTCAGATGGTTAAGCATCTGCCTTCGGCTCAGGTCATGATCCCAGAGTCCTGGGATCGAGCCCCACATCGGGCTCTCTCCTCGGCGGGAAGCCTGCTTCTCCCTCTCCCACTCCCCCTGCTTGTGTTCCCTTTCTCGCTGTGTCTCTCTCTGTCAAATAAATAAAATCTTAAAAAAAAAAAAAGAAAAAAGAAATGAGTTGCCAAAGAGTAAATTGCTTCTCCAAAGCAACATAGCTAGTAGAAAGTGTATCCATCTGGTGCAGTGGTTAAAAGGGTGTATCAAGACAGACCCGAGATCAGCTATTAAGGATTTGGAGTAAGCTACAAACAGCATCTGCTTCATGAAGTTGTTATGAGGATTAAGTAACGCGTATGTAAAGTACACAGAGTATCTACCACATAGAGAGTTGTGGTTTTTACTCTTTCTGTCTCCCTCCCTCCCCCACCTTTCTGATTTTTTGTTTTTTGAGTATGGATTCAAAGTAAAAAATGATCAGTCTCCAAAGTCTATCTAATACGTATAGTTTTATAAGTTATAAGTCATCTCACAATTCATAAACTATCTAAACTTAAACTGGTAATGAGAAAAGAGGGACAAAAAAAATATCATGCTCACTTTACAGGTGAGGAAAAAGGAGATTCAGTTATTGACCAGATCTCCATATAGTGAAAAAGGAAGTGGAGTTTTTCCCTAGGTCTCAGGGGTTCCTTTTAAAATTAAAACTTTCAAAGTCCATGATTCTTAATTTGGGTTCTATACGAGTTTTAAAGCTTCACCCAGCAGATTTGAATTCATCTTTCCAACAAATCGTGAGAGGAAGACACTTTTAGCAGGGAGGGAGGAAAGGAAGGAAGCAGAGGGTACTTACACAGGCTGTCTCTTACCGACCTGTTTCCTGGTCATTCTCCCAGGATCCGAAGGGGCATGCAGAAGTATGTTTCTCAATCCCAGGGACAGAGGAGGCCTTGATTTTGCATAGCAATATGCTTTAGTGGGGTGGGGTGAAATGGGAGGAAAAAACTGAAAAGAATGCATGTATCAGTCAGAGGTGTTGGTGGGCGTCTAAAGAATTCCGGAAGAGTAAACATCTTGGACAAGAGTTGGTTGGGACATGATTGCTGGAGAGCATAATTGTTACCCATACACACACACACACACACACACACACACACACACACACACACACACATATATACATATACAAGATTATATATATATGTATACTTATATATACATATATATGCATATACAAGATTAATCACAATGAACATTTCTTTAATATATAATCATCATAAGACTTCAAAGGCTCATACTAGGAGAAAAGATGTTAGCTCTGCCATTTTTACTTGTGGTGTGCTTATGTTTGCCTTATTATTAGAATATTCATTCTGTGTTCTCTTTGAAAGATTCCCTTTATGCTCCTTTCTCCATTTTGGGTTAGTTCTTTTGTAAAAACTGAATAAAAGAATCCCTGAAACCACTTAGCCAGACCCACAGAGATTGTAGTATATCACCAAGTGCTGAAAACCTATGAACAAGTAACTATACCCCGCTGTGTTACGGAACTCCCTCTTTTGCTCAGGGCTCCTCCCATATGCTATGTGACATCTGGAACCATTGCCAAATTAGTAAAACTGAATCTCTTTATTTCTGAGATGAAAGTTACTTATAAAAAGAAATTTTAATATTTTTCTGCCATGCCCTAATGGATCATCTTGGCAGGTTTGGGGTCGAAGAGAGTGAATAAGAAAAGGATTATTTTTATAATCATGACTCCAGAGCAGGGTCAGCAAACTTTCTGTAGAGAGTCACTAAGTAAGTATTTGGGGCTTTGCAAGCCTTATAGTCTATCACAACTACACAATTTTGCACTTTAATGTGAAATCCGCCATAGAGAGTAAATACACGAATGGGTGCGGAAGTATTCCAATAAAACTTTATTGAAAAAAAAAAACCACAGGTGGTGAGCCAGATTTTGTCCATGGGCAGTAGTTTTCCAACCACTGATCTGAGGATTTTGCCCACATCTCTATCCAGCTTCCATTTCTGTGCACATGGCAGTTGCAGCTTAAAGGGTGGGGCTGGGGAGTGTAGGAGTGAAAAAGTATCATAATTTACCCTGATTTTGTGGATTTTGCTTTTTCTTACACTTATTTTTGATTAAAACTTATCTTTCCAGTATTTCTTTGGCATGGGAAGAACGGGTATTCATTCTGTCTTCACTTTACAGAAGGGTACAGAAAGTTTAAGTGGTTTGTATCGTTGTCACCCATCTGTGATATCTGTATTAGGATCTGACTATCACCCCTGTGTTTTTTTATTTGGATTATTCTTTCTAGGATGCATCCTTTAGAGAATTAAAAAAAAATGGTGGGAGAAATAACCAAGAAGTAATTTTCATTATCCAAACCAAGGAAAAAGTAGTGACTTTTAATGACTTAAATAGGGACACGCACGGGCGTCCCTACTTTCTTATTCCATTAAGATACCATAGGGGATCCAGTTCCTTGTTGCTTTTCATGGATTTTCCTGATCTTTTTTTCCATGGTATGTTTTTGGAAATGATGCGTTTTAGGCCAATGAGTATCAGATAATACTTGGAGTTCTTGTTTTGCACAGTACTGTGTTAACTGAAACTTGTTCATATTGGAACGGAGTCTTCATGTTGCAAGGTTCCATGGTAACTGAGAGCAAATCTGTTATAAGAGAACTGTGCAAAAAAAAGAGGACTTGGTGCCAGCATGCATGACCTATGTGTAACACGGCACCAAGCAAAATGAGGACTGCCTTAACTAAATAACTAAGAATCCAATTTCCAAATGTCTGCATCTGCCATATAATTCCCTCTTTTGCAGTCATTAGGGGGAAACAAAGAAATCACTGATTACAGTCATTGCCATTATCTGACATG